GAAATGAAGAATTTATTCAAGGAATTACAAAACACAGTGGAAAGCCTCAAGAACAGGGTAGATCAAACAGAAGAAAGAATCTCAGGGATTGAAGATAACACCCTTCAATTAAATAAGTCAGTCACAGAGATAGAGTAGAGAAATAATAGAAAAAGGGCAAAGCCTACAAGAAATGTGGGATTATGTGAAGAGGTCTAACGTGAGAATCATAGGCATCCCTAATGGTGAAGAAGAAAATACACATGGGTTGGATAAGCTATTTGAGCATACCACAGAGGAAAATTTCCCAGGCTTTGCTAAAAATCTAGATATCCAGGTACAAGAAGCTCAAAAGACTCCTGGGAAATTCGTCACAAACAGGAAGACACCACAACACACAGTCATCAGACTGACAAAAATAACCACCAAAGAGGACTTCTACAAGCTGTAAGGTGAAAGAAGCAGGTAACCTACAAAGGAAAACTCATCAGAATAACATCACACTTCTCAACTGAGATCTTACAAGCAAGAAGGGACTGGGACCCCATTCTCACTCTTCTCAAACAGAATAATGCCCAGCCTGGAATCTCATACCCCAAAAAACTAAGTTTTGCATAAGAAGGAAAAATAAAGACATTCTCAGATAAGCAAAGACTGAGGGAATTCATCAAGACAAGACCTGCCCTCCAGGAAGTACTCAAAACAGTATTACACATGGATCAGCATAATAAACATGAAAAAATGTAAAATTACCCAAAAGCTAAAGGTCAAAGGCCAGAAATCAAAATGACCTAAGAGAGAAAACAAAGCAACAAAGTTCAATTCAACAGGATAAACAGAAGTCTACCCCACTTATAAATTCTCTCAATAAATATGAATGGCTTGAGCTGCCCACTAAAGAGACATAGGATAGCTGAATGGATAAATATACACTAGCCAAGTATCTGCTGTCTTCAGGAAAAATATCTAACCCACAAGGATGCATTCAGACTCAAGGTGAAGGGATGGAAAACAATATTTCAAGTAAATGGAAGCCAAAAGAAAACTGGCATGGTGGTTCTGATTTCAGATAACTTAGTCTTCAAATCAACAAAAGTAATGAAAGACAGAGAGTCACTATATAATGGTGAAGGGTACAACTCAACAAGAAGACATAACAATTCTAAATATTTATACACCCAACTCAGGTGCACCCAGATTCATAAAGCAAATCCTACTTGATCTAAAGACATTGGCGTAGGCAAAGAATTTATGAAGACCCCAAAGGCAATTACAGCAACAACGAAAATAAATAAATTGTACCTAATCAAATTAAAAACCTTCTGTAACATCAAGGCAACTACCATGACAGCAAACAGACAACCTACAGAATGGGAGAAAATATTCGCATGCTACACATCCGATAAAGGACTGATAACTAGAATCTATATGGAACTCAGGAAAATCAGCAAGAAAAAGTCAAACAACCCTACCAAAAAGTGGGCAAAGGTCATGAACAGAAACTTTTCAAAAGAAGATGGACTAATGGCTAACAAACATATGAAAAAATGCTCAACATCTCTAGTCATCAGGGAACTGCAAATCAAAACCACAAGTAGATATCACTTATCTCCAGTGACAATGGCCTTTATCAAAAAGTCCCAAAACAATAAATGTTGGCCTGGATGCAAAGAGATAGGAACACTCCTACACTGATATTGGGACTGCAAAGTAGTGCAACCTCTGTGGAAAGCAATATGGAGATACCTGAAAGAGATACAAGTAGGACTACCATTTGA